CAGCATACAGGGTTTGGGATTGGAGCAATGGCAGAGTGTAGGTTCCGGATTCATCAACCAATTAAAAAATATAGTTATCACCTTTTTGTCAGCATCTTTAGTAATAAAGGGAGATATCACGCTTGGGATGATGCTCTCTGTTCAATATATTATCGGGCAGTTGGATGCGCCATTGTCACAAGTGACTAACTTTTTTCGTCAAATGCAGGATGCGAAAATCAGTTTGGAAAGATTAGGCGAAATCCATGACAAAGAAGATGAGGAGCCAAGCCCCCTAACCCTCGAAGGGGGAATGTCATTGATTACTGAAATTGAACCTTCTGATATTAGACTGGAGCATGTAAGTTTTCGGTATATCGGTTCTCCGGATATGGTATTGGACGATATTAGTTTCACTATCCCTAAAAATAAAACCACCGCCATAGTGGGTGCCAGCGGTAGCGGAAAAACTACTTTGCTTAAATTATTGATGAAGTTTTATGAACCGGTTTCAGGAGAATTACGAATTGCGAATTACGAAAGTTTAGGAAGTGGGAAGACGGAAGATGGGAGTGAGGAGATGGGAGTTTCGGGTTCGCCGTCTGGGGTGAGTGGGAAGACGGAAGATGGGAGTGAGGAGATGGGAGTTTCGGGTTCGCCGTCTGGGGTGAGGTTGCAAAACATCAGTCAAAAAACATGGCGTTCCAAATGTGGTATAGTCATGCAGGACGGTTTTATATTTAATGATACCATAGCCAATAATATAGCAGTGGGTGAAGATTTTATAGATAAGAAAAAATTAAAACAAGCGGTTCAAATCGCTAATATTCAGGAGTATATAGAGAGCCTTCCACTAAGTTATAATACGAAAATCGGGAATGAGGGGATTGGTATGAGTGGTGGTCAAAAACAACGGTTATTAATAGCCCGTGCTGTCTATAAAAATCCGGAATATATCTTTTTTGATGAGGCTACCTCGTCTTTAGATGCCAATAACGAAAAGGAAATCATTGAGAACTTAGACGGCTTCTTAAAAGAACGAACTGCCGTTATTGTGGCTCATAGATTAAGCACCGTAAAACATGCAGATAATATCATAGTCCTTGAAAAAGGAAAAATCATAGAACAAGGCACTCATCAAGAATTAACGGACAAAAAAGGAGCGTATTATGAATTAGTGAAAAATCAATTGGAGTTGGGGCAGTAGTGGGCAGTAGTGGGGAGATGGGAGATGGAAGATGGGAGATGGGAGATGGGAGATTGGAGATGGAAGATTGGAGATTGGAGATGGGAGATGGGAGATGGAAGATGGAAGATGGAAGATGGGAGATGGAAGATGGAAGATGGGAGATGGAAGATGGGAGTGGGAAGATGGGAGATTGGAGTTTTCTAAAATTATTAACTTTGGACATAAAAAAAAATAATAATGAGTTTTAAGTTTGAAAAAATAATAATTTGGCAAAAATCTATGGAATTTGCAGAATTAATAAATGAGATAATAAAGAGTTTTCCAAAGCAAGAAATGTTTAATCTATCTTCTCAAATCCTAAGAGCAGCCGATTCTGTTTCTTTAAATATTGCCGAAGGCTCTATTCTTCAATCTAAGTTAGAATTTAAGCGATTTTTAGGTTATTCCATTCGTTCACTTGCAGAAGTTGTTACCTGCTTATATAAAGCAAAAAACAGGAATTATATTACAGATGAAACATTTCACGACCTATATACAAAGAGTTTTAATTTAATGAATATGATGATTGCCTTTAGAGATAAAGTAAAGTAAAAGTTTGGGGATGGGAGTTGGGAGATGGAAGTTTGGAGATGGAAGTTTGGAGATGGGAGTTGGGAGATGGAAGTTTGGAGATGGGAGATGGGAGTTGGAAGTTTGGAGATGGGAGTTGGAAGGATGGGGAGACTTCCCGCTTCCCACTTCCCACTTCCCACTTCCCACTTCCCGCTTCCCACTTCCCACTTCCCACTTCCCACTTCCCACTTCCCGCCTCCTACTTCCCGCTTCCCACTTCCCACTTCCCACCTAAAAAAATAAAAAATTTATGTTAGAAGATTTAGACCTCCGTTCGGAGTCCGTTCAAGAAGTATTAAATAGACCGCCATCGTGGATGATTCGCTGGGGAATTACGGTTATTTTTATAGTTATGCTGATTATCTTGGTTGCTTCATGGATAGTGAAATATCCGGAATTTATACCGGCTCAAATCTTGATTTCTACTCAAAATCCGCCCGAAAAAATTGAGGCTAAAGCCAATGGTAGATTAACAGATATTAAAG